TTAAATTAGGCCTCCGGCACCACACTCATCAGACGAAACACGGAATTGCTTCCATTTCACGCCTGTCTTCTGTGTAGTCGTGGTATTACACATGGCGTGCCGGCCCATTCGTGCTAAGATGTTAAAGCGGGCATTACCAGCAATGTCAACGTTCTAATAAATCTAGTAAAGATTGTCATATTAAACTATATTTTTGTGAGCCGAAGTGCGTAACTGTAACTATTATTTTCTATTAGGCAAAGAAGTAAAATTTACCTTTCTTATTTTGTGAAATCCATGAGATTTCCTAGAATTCGTATCTTTTCTCACATAACCATTAGGTAAAGAATTATAAGTATTGAAAATTATTATTCTTAACTTTGGTACGCAATTATGTTTTTGCATATGCTTATTTTTATTTTTAAAACTGTTTGATACTATGCTTGATTTTTCAAAGTTTTCAAGGACTGTAATGAACTCCGACATATTAATACCAAATATAAACATTATTTATAAGCTTACACATAAGATACAAAACGTACATATAAACAAACTTATGGACTTACTAAACTCTTATGTTAACTCTTAAACTAGATAATGCTGGCGAATACGTTAGTTGCGAATAAAAAAAGTACCCTATACTACCCTTGCATTCATGAGCATTTTTCAATTAAAAATTTCCTCAAAATCAGTCCAGCCATTCGGTGATTTACCCAAAGAAGAGAATAACCCGGAACAAACGCAGCCTTTCGGACAGACAGATGGACGCAAAAACAAAAAATCTAATATTGGTTTCCAATTTTTATAACGAATACACCAATTGCATAATTAAATAGGTAAATTATCATACAAGTACAATGTTACTTCTATATAGGTATATGTTAACTTACCTTTTAAAGTGACGGTTTGGATAGCCGAAGCAACATTGTTTTTATGTTGATGAATAAATTCAGATGTATTTATCAAAGAAAGAATTGCCTCGAAAATACTATTGGCCTTTTGTATTTTACTTTGTGCTCTTCTACAGATCAAGATAATTCTTTTATAGGTAAAGCTAAAAAATAGGAAAGAATAAAAGGTATTTCTTCATTTGTGAAGTCTAGGTACATATGGCGATTTTGTACTTTGTTGATGCATACAAACTCCGTGTAGGCACTTACCATATTTGACGACGTAATAGATTTTTAGGACCAGTTCCTATTTTAACCACTATAATATTATATCGATTAACACATTTGTTAGTCTTGTGATCGACATTATTACAGAGGACTAAAACTTTAAGAGAAAAAAATAAACTTATTATAATGAAATATTTTATCATTTCTGCCAACGTTTTCGATTATTTTTATATCTGTCAATTGCATTTATATCAAGTCCCAATATTTTGACCTGCAGTCAATCCTGCAGTCAAGCGTTATAAAAATATTTCCCGCGGTAACTTAACAGTACCGTTTTTATTTTTTTTCCGTATCTAGTGCATGTTCTGTTCCGTACACTCTGTCGGTTAAACACCTACGTATTTTGAATTTGAAGATTTATTTTCATAAGACTGTGTTTTAACTTAAGTACTGTTGCCTAAAAAACCTTTAATTAAATGAAACATTTTTATGTGTATACTAGTTTTCATATTTTTGTTTTTAATTTAGTTATGACTAGCTGTGTTCCAATGTTTCCAGAATATCTCCATGATTTTTGCAAAGATAAACAGAGATTAGTAATATCTTTTTTAATCTGCAATCTTACCAAAGACACTTTTATTGTCTTTAGCCAGACTTGGCGCTCTCGTCTTTAAATTGAAACAAATTTACGACGTCAATATGGCGGATAAATGGAAAAGTAAGTTTGTTTATATTTTTATCAAACAAATCTTTACCTATAATAGCTTTATTTAACATAAAACACAATTAGTGTTTGTAAAAATTTTAAATAAGATCTCTTTTTGAATTAAGCACCAATTTAACTACTTCATCTGTTAAGTATAGAATAAATTCTGATTCTAAAGGTTCAAAATTTGAAAAAATTCAAATTTTTAGCCTTATTGACAAAGTTCATTTCGGTGACAATTTTCGAAATCTTATTCCATTTCATTATATACCTGTTATGACAGTGCATAACTTAGCGACATATATTAAAACTTGAAAAAGAGTTATCCAATAATTATGAAATCTTTTATCTTCAAGGTAGTCCAAAAGATGGAAGAAATTCATCGGGTTTGCAGTATAAAATTAAAAGTGAGCCAATGGATTCCGATTTACCCGAGGAAGACGAGACCCCACTTGCTTTTGGACCTGCCGCGCTTGGACTTCATAGAGTTGGAACAAAGTTACCGCCGAAACCTGCACCTAGCGAACCTGTTCAGAAACTGAACGCAAGAGGTATGCCAGCTCGTATACGGAAGAAAAACAGGTTTATTTTCGTTGACGATTTTATAAATACGTCTCCTCCGCCTCGTCAATCTCCGAAACGACTACCTAGACTGTTGAGTAAATCTCCAACTAAATCTTCAAGTGCTAAAAAACAAAAGTCGCCAACAAAGGGACATAAAACTGGCGATAGATATGATGAAAAAGTTGCAACACAAGGAAGTCAATCTCCAGATCGTAAAAGTGGACAAAGGATAGGTATGCGATTAAGGAATTTGTTAAAGTTACCTAAAGCACATAAATGGGTATGTTTTGAGTACTTTTACAGTAATATAGACAAGGCTCTATTTGAAGGTGAAAATGATTTTATGATTTGTCTTAAAGAATCCTTTCCCCAATTAACAGTCAATCGGAAATTGACACAAATACAATGGGCAAAAATTAGAAGAATGATGGGCAAACCTCGAAGATGCTCACAAGCCTTTTTTTCTGAGGAGCGCAAGGAACTTGAAAGAAAGAGGAAATTGATAAGATATATACAACAAAGGAAAACTGCAGATATATGTGTTAAAGATTTACCTAATGAAATACCAATGCAGTTAGTTGTTGGTACCAAAGTCACTGCAAGATTGCGGAAGCCTCAAGATGGACTATTTACTGGGTGCATAGATGCGGTAGACACATCTAACAATACTTATCGAATAACATTTGAGAGACCTAAGCTTGGAACACACTCAGTACCTGATTATGAAGTGTTGTCCAATGAACCTCCTGATACCATCAATCTCTCCTCAATAACACAAAAATTTAGACCTCGATATGTAATGCAGGAAATTTTCAATCTTTACCAACCATCACCTACTTCCAATAACACTAGTAAAAATGACCCTTTAATTGGATGCAATGATATTTCAAAGCATATGGAAGCAAATATTGGTGGTTTTCCTTTTGATTTGCTTGAATTAATAGTGAAGTTAGCAAAAATACTACGCGCTAAACGAAATAAAATAAACAGATTAAAGGAATACAACAGTGAAGCAGAGAAAAGGAAACCATTTGGCCAAAAACTGCCTGAAGATTTTGAAAGGAAATATGCTGCAGTTGTGATAGAATTGGAAAGAATGAATATGGATTTGCAAGATTATATCAATCAAGTTCAGCAGTATTGCCAACAAATAGCACCGGGCCCTAGTCTTGCTGCTATGTTGGCACCTTCTCATCTTAGAGAAAAATGTCGTGAGGAGGCATCATTGCTTGTGGAAAAGAATAACAATAGCACTCTAAAAGATGCTAATATAATTGACCTCATAACTGATTTAACTGCCCTCTTGCTGCAAGTGAAAAGCTTGTCTGATTCAGATCAAAATGCATATGAACTAAGCGTTTTACAGGGTACTATGGATCAAATCAAAATGAAGCTTGAACCTCAACATCAAAGGTTGTTCCAAAGTAATGTAGAGATTCACATGCAAAGAATTCAGATGGGCTTAGGGCAGATGTCAAATAGTTATGTTGCTGGCACATAATTTTGTAGGCTCTCACATTTTGAGGAATTATATTTATTGTAATTAAATTTATCTGGAAATAAAATAGTGTGAGACAGAAAATTTTATAATAAACTTGTGCATGCAAAGGGGATTAATAGATAGATTGAATAAATTAATATATTAAGAGTCCTGCTATATATCTCAATATGTAAATATAACTTTTTACTTTTTAAATCTATGTGGAGGATGTAGTATAAATTTTATTAAATGATCAATGTCTTCAGTTGCTACCTATTTCCTTAGATTTGTTTGCTGTTTTTAAAAACAATGCATGTGTGAATACATAGGACAGATTTATTTAGAATTATAATTATTGTTGAGTGCTACAATTTATGTACTATATACTCGATTTTGTTATTTGTTACAACTAATTATATTCAAATTGCAATAAATGGTGACAAAATATAGTTTATTTGAAGTCTTTTATCTTGTGTGCTATAAGTGATATTCCTGGCTAACTCATAAAACTAGTAAGTACAACAGTACATATCTTACAAAGATTTTAGAAAATGGGCATAAAGTGCAAAATGACCATGGTCTGACATGATAAAATTTACAGGTCCCAAACTAATGCATTGTCGACCCCCTAGAATAATAAGCCAAAAAGAAATATTTCTGTATGGAATATTTACATAGATTCTAAGACATCGACATTCGAACTAGGTCTGCTGACTAATTGATACTACGCATTTTATATCTATACTTAAAAAAAGCACTGTTATTGAATATTTTTTGAATGAAAACATTTACTGCTAGAAAACGCTTAAGGCTATATTTTTTCACGCTATAAAATTTAGGGAGTAAATTGGGAAGAATCGCTCTGTAAATTGGAAAAAACCTATAACCCAGTAAAAAATTAATGTCCTGTACACACTTGGCCAGTACAGTTGGACAGTTGCGCCGGAAGGTCGTCGAGCGCTACTGACCAACTGTAATGGCAAGGTGTTAACCGCACTTACGGTTGCCATGGTTACTTAAATTTTCAGCTAACAGCTAGGGCTTTCATTGTTATTTAAACGTTTGGAATTGTAAGTTGTAATTACATATATGTTTATAATTAAAATAAGTATTTAAATGAAGTCTTTACTTATAATGTCATGCGGACAAGGCCACATGAATGTTCTTATAATAAAGTACCACGTTTTAACATATAATTACTATTTCAACTTACAAAACAATGTGCGCAGTGGCAACCCTGAGAGCTAACCCAACCATGAGACATGTCGCTTAAAGCTTTAGCTCCTTAATAATGATTGTTCACTGTTCTGTGTTTGAATAATAATAAAAAAATATAAATATATCATACCTTTACTTCCCAAAGACTAGGCAAGGCAAGGGCAATAGGCAAATAAATTATTACTGGTTTAAGTAGTCCTTTTCAAATGTCTTGGCCGCCGAAGATCATGTGCTCTCTTCGGCCGGCTGTAATCTTATGATACTTCTTACTAATATTATAAATGCGAAAGTTTAGATGGATGGATGGATGGATGTTTAAAGTTTGTAGCCTAAAATTTATGTTATTTTTATTTATTATTTACGTTAAATGGATCTCGATGAAATTTCGCAATGACAGAGGATAGTCTAAAAAAAACCATAGGGTACTAACTTTTGACTTTTTTAATTTAACGCGTACAGAGTCGCGGGCATAAGCTAGTAGAACTATATCTTTGATAAAGTTCGATTTGTGTTGTCATTTTTGGTTTCAGGCTAAATAATAGGCAAATAGATGAGAAAGCAAATAATGAAAACCAGCATTGCCCTACTTTCAACAATTTAAACACAATCTTTTTTTCTAAAATCCAGCGACATACTTTTTCTAAGATATTTTACAAAAGTTCCAGTAAACAGAAAATTATCAAAGAACAAATTATAAAATTGATATGTAAGAATAATTTATTAGGTCTATTAGACTGAACAATAAAACAATTTAACAAATGTTATGTTTAATTCATAATTTTGAACATTCTTAAGCTTGTCTACCGTTTATCTACTCATTTGGTTAAAACTATGCATGTGTAGGAAAAATATTAACTCTGTATCACAGTTGACATTTTGCCTGCATTTACAGTTTTAACAAACCGTACAGTGTGAAGATGTGTAGTTTAATATTATGCCAATACCAGATGCTTAATACTACTAATGGATTACACAAAAACAAATATGACATTTGCCATTTTCTTTATTATTAAATGGTGTTGTTTTAAGCCTTATATTTATCCAATGTATTTAATAAATCATCAGCTTCCTCGGATGTTTTCACTCTAATCAGTATAGGAACAGGTGGTGGTTTGGCCTCTGGAGTGGGAATACAAACCAGCATAACATTATTCTTACCCATGCGTTGTGTCGGTATTGAGGAAGTGAGAACTAAGTTAAGCAATATATTTCCCAAACTAGTGTCTGCTCGCATTATAAGTTGATGTTTCTCGCTGTCATTTATTTTCTTTATGTATAGTGTGCCAACACCTTTATCTACAAAGTTATTATCTTTCTTAATAAATATTTTGCAGCGTTTATCAAAAAGGCTATTCTCTTCAACAACTGGAGTGAACTCTACTTTTGGTGGTTCATCATTTTCATCAGCATTTTCATTTGTGTTTTCTGTATCTGGCTGTGCTTGTATGTTGGAATTGAAGCTGAAAGGTTTGCCTGTTCCGAATGAAAAGGATTGTTGACCATTTGGTATAGAATTAGAAGTGCTCACAGCAAATGGAGATGAGGTTGTTGCTGTACTTTGAGTTGAACTAAGACCAAATGTAAAACCAGAACTTGTAGTATTAGTGCTTGGTGATGATGTAAATCCAAAAGAAAAACTTGGTGATTGAGTTGTGCTCTTAGCAGCTGATGAAAATATAGATTTAGGTGCATTTATAGATGCAGCAAAGAGTGATGCAACAGAATTGTTTACAGTCACAGGTGGATTTTTAATTACTTCAGAATCTTTAGTGGAGACATCCTCATTAGCTGTGTCTTTGTCTTCTTTTTTACTGCTTTCATACTCATTTTGAATTTCCTGAAGATATTTTTCATAATCCTTAAATATTGGTGAAAGTATACACAGAGGTGTTTCATCCACATGTTTTTTAATCCACTCCAGAACTGATACATTTAATCCTTTTAATTTACTATAGTAATTTAATTTACTTTCTTGCATATTTTTCGAGTTAGTATTATTCTCAGAAGTTTTTACTTCTGATTTGTTATTGGTTATATTTTCACTTGCAGCTTGAGTTGGTTGAGTCCATAATGTTGATCCCTGTGATTGTGTTGTCTGAGGCTGGGGTGCCTGAAACAGTGAGGTCTGCGACTGGGGACTCTTAAATTGCGTGGTTTGTGACTGGAACAGTGAAGATTGAGCTGGTGGTGTTTGAAACTGTGAGGTCTGTGTCTGTGGTGCCTGGAAAAGTGAGGTTTGGGACTTAGGACTTTGGGATTGTAAGATTGGTGCCTGTGGTGCCTGGAATAGTGATGTTTGGGACTGTGGACTCTGGAATTGTGAGGTCTGCGCCTGTGGCGCCTGAAATAGTGATGTTTGAGACGGTGGACTCTGGAATTGTGAGTTTTGTGTCTTTGGTGCCTGGAATAGTGATGTCTGAGACTGTGGACTCTGAAATTGTGAAGTTTGAGTCTGTGGTGCTTGAAACAGTGATGGTTGGGAGGGTGGACTCTGGAATTGTGAGGTCTGTTGTTGTGGCACCTGAAATACAGAGGTTGGTGATTGTGAAGTTTGGATTTGTGTAGTTGGTTTAGCCTGGAACAGAGTGGTCTGAGACTGAGGGGCCTGAAATTGTGGAGCCTGTGTTTGTGGTGGTTTGAATTGTGGGCTCTGGCTCTGAGGAGCATTAAATTGTAAGGGCTGTGCAGATGGAGACTTGAATTGAAAACCCTGTGTCTGTGAAGCTTGTAATTGTGGTATTTGATTTTGAGTTTGTGTATCTAACTTTGTCTGAGAAACATTTGAAGTGGTTTGTATTTGAAATGGTGTTGTAGTATTTGCACCAAACACAGATTTATAATTGGAACTTGATGAAGCTACTCCAAATATTGAAGATGGTAATTGGGAGTTTTCAGGTGCTTTCCAATTGAAACCACTTGTAGTAGACCCTGATGTCACTGGTGCCTTGAATAAGTTCTCATTAACAGTTGAATCTGCACCAGGAAGTTTTCCTGAAGATGTAGACTCTGTTGCAATGTTCCCAAAAGTCAGACTTGTGGCACTTGTAGTTGTAGGCGTAGTAAAAATGTTACTACCAAAAGGTTTCATATCACTGGCATTCACATTTAGACTTGCACTGTTTGCAGTACTTGGTGCATTTGTGTTAGCTCCCTTGGTCAGATTAGCTAAGAAATCAAATGATGATGGTTGTGCCTTATTAAAACCACCAAAGCTACTGAAGACTGGTTTTTTAGACTGTAAGAAAATTGAAAAAGGTTATTAATTGACATATTCATGTTAGAGTATATAACAAGTAATAATTAGGATGTTTTAATGTAAACAAATGTCTTATTAATACTAAAACGGAACTAGGCATACCGATTATGTATATCATAATAAAGGAATATTGAAGTATTTACCTCATGGCCTGGAACATTTTGGCTTCGTCGTTTAGCGAGTCTGAAAACACGCTTTTCAAGAACATCTCCCGGAGCTGTTTTAAAAGTACCTATTTCTTCATTTTTCTCTTCTTTATCCCAATTCTCGTGGTTTAAATCAGCAGCCGCGCGTCTCTTTACTGACATTATGTTAGTTTCATCAAAATCAACTGAGATAAATACCTTTTCGATTCTTTAGCTCCATCAATAAGATGACTAAATGCAACAACTAAATCTAACGTGACACCCGAGACTTGAATCTAATGTACGCCCGGAGTCGTTTTCAAATTTGAACGAATTATTATCTCCTGACTAAACTCGTATTTTACTTTTAACATGGCATGGCATCCATAATGACAATTAACATGTCATTGTCATCCAATGTCATTTGATTTGCCAACGATCGATAAAACCAAAGAGAATACAAAAGATTTAACAGTAAAAGATAGGCAAAGACATAGGTACATATACAGCCAAAATATCTGGCCCGATGACATCTAGCGCTGCTATCGCGGTTGGTTCGTTTGGTTCAGTCAGAAAACATGTTTAAACCATGGAAGTATTGTACGTAGTGCTTACTTGGTGCTTACTACATCCATCGTTAAACCAACATAGGCATATATTTAATGATATTCACAGTAAGAAAAGGACCTTGGGACCACTTGTGATTCTTAACCGGGTCAGATGTTATTGTCAGTCTCCAAATTGAATATTCTGTTATTTTTTTTAAGGTTTAATACAAATCGAATAGGTGCGATTAGGTTACTAGGTTTAAAATAATTTATTCTGGTTTTTTAAATTGAGTTTAGATTTTTTTTAAGTATAAAAGTGTACGATGATATATCCTTTTTTTGGTATTTTTATTTTCCATATAGGATGATCGTACATTATTTGTACCTATATGTTTATTAAATAATTTGAGATTTCGAGAGAAATAATACAATATATATGTCTCTAAAATCGGTGATCTTGAATAGATACTTTATACTTTCTCTTTCTACTTATTCTGCAGTTCAACATGCAATTCTAACTTTAATCCCTTCTGATTAGGTTGACATTCGGATATCGTAATTGAAAAACTTTGCAGTCCAAAATTTTTGGAACTTCCGATTTCCGTCTTGTCACACTTGTATTATGTATTGTTTGGATGCTAAATGAAAGAATATTTTTTGTCTTTTAAATAAATAAAATCATGATTAATATAGTTAATATTTTTTGCTTACAAGAATGTTCTTTAAGTTTACGTTAACAAAGCTTCTACACACAACATTCGTAAAAAGTATTTAAATTGTGTTTCCGAATAGTTAACATTCAGATTTCAGTGTTTCCTTTGGAGTTTTTTTTTGTTAAAACTGTTTGTTACTGCGAACAAGAGTTTTTTTCGTAACAATAAATTAATATTTTCATAAATCGTCGTAATGTTACAAAGTATTCTTAAAGTTAAAATTATGTGATGTGTTTTATACTTAGAAGTTTATCATTTTATATGTGATCATGGAAGTATCTAATGAAATAAAGGAAGATATTCGGAAAACTCAGACCGACTTGAAAAATGCAATTAGAGTTCATCAGGCGAGTGTTATTTCTCAGTTTCCTTTCTGAATATTATTCTATAGTTTTGTGAAACTTTTCTATTTTCAATTATAGTCATGATGTATTAGTAAACAAGTTTTAAACATTTTTAACTTCCAGATTTGGGTTGCGCGACTTCAAGAAGACGAACATGTTAGTTATTTTTATCGTTATTTGTTTTATATCATTATATATTTTAATAATAGTCTATCATAAATGATTTTTTTTTCAGAATATACATCTGAAAATAAAAGTTAAAGAAGCAGAAAAAGAAATTATCGCTATTGGTAGAAGTCAAGTGAGTTTTTTAATTAGTTTGTTTTTTTCTAATAATTGCTAGTTTGGTTTTTATTTACATCATGGTAATTTATTTTTAATCGAATTAAATTCGTACATTTTACAAAACTGACTTTCGACTACAATAACAACTAGCTGTCGACAGCGACTTCATCTCTGCGGAATTAAAAAAAAAACTAAATAATAAGCCTATGCCTTATTCTTGACGGTAAAGTATTTGGATGCCTAATTTTATCCAGTTTTGTTCTGTTCTTGTGTTACATGGTAACCAACTTCCATCCATTCAAACTTTTGCATTTAAATATTTAAAGATGTAAAATTTTTAATTTCAGAAAACTGTAGTCGATAGATTACGTAGAGAACTGATACTTTATCAACAACGGCTTAAAGCGAGGAATAAGCAAGTCAGTATTGAAAATGAGACAAGATATGTTGCTCAGCAGTTAAGGGACCATCAGCTGCAATATCGAAGTAGAAACAGATCCATATCATTATTAAAACCATCTGTTTTAAATGAAATATTAATCAAATCGGAAAGTAATGATGGTACTAATGCATCCGATTCAGATAATGAATTAAAATCCTTCAATGATAAAGAAAATTCTAATATAAATGAAAATTTTGGTGATGAAAATTACCAAAAGAATATCTCTCAGTTATCAAATACTGTAAATGACAGTAGGAATAACTTCACAAATGCACTTAAGAAAGTCAAGGAAGCTTTAATGTAAGTATTTTAGTTGTTTCTATTTTCTAGAAAATTATGTTACAAACATTAACTTAAACATGATGAGGGACCTCAAACATAGATTTAAAAGTATTATTTACAATAAAAAAAACATGATATTGTCTATTAGACGAAAGGACACAAAAACGCAATATTCTTTAACCATTAAATGCATGATTTTTTCTGTTAAGTACCATAAATTAAACATAGATCAAGGTAGAATAAAAATTTCTTTTGAACAAATAGTTTATTGTGTTAGAAAAGACTGATGTGTAAATGCATCATGCATTTAAGAGTTAAAGGTTTTAATATTACATGTTTTTTGCAATCAATTTTTTTCTCATATTGATCATATGATAAATTTGATAAATTTCAATTGTGAACAAAGATGTTTTAGTTTGTATGGTAACATTTTTAAATAATAAGTGTTCAATTTAATTTGTTATGTTTTTGTATTATCATAGAGGAACGAAAGTTGAACAGCAATGGTGCGAGCAGAGATCGGACTCTGATTCATCCCAGGATCATGAGCCGTCACCTACTCCATCACCTCCACCCTTGCCAGAGCCTGGTGAGCCTGTGCCTCAAGAGATCTTTATGAGGTCAGCATCCTTTATAAACTGGTGTTGCAACAAATATACAACAATTCATAGTAGTTAAATGAATTTTACAATTGTGACATTCAAAGTATAGCTTTATCTATTCTATACTAATATTATAAAAAGAAAGATTTGTATGTATTGAAATAACTCAAAAACTACTAGGTTGAATTCAAAAATTCAAATGTTAAGCATTAAAATGTTGTGCATAATAATGAGTAACATAGGCTATATTTTTATTATTCTTTAAATGGATGTGGGCGAAGTCGCAAGCCACTCTTAGCATTACCTCTAAAAGGCCAAAGGAGATGCATAGAAGTAGGATAATTCCTCTACCTACATATGTGTCCATCTCCTGCCAAAGCCTCTTCCCCTATCCATCCTTTCTTTAGTATGAAAGGGGAAGGGGACAAAAAAGGTATACAGCTCACACTTTCTTCAGAAAAAATTTTAAATTTATCATCTCATTTGTGTTTTAATTTTTTTTTGGCATACTTAAGTTTAATTAAAAGTTTTTTTTTTGTTTTCAGGTTGCTAGGCCTAATTACACATCAACAGAGAGAATTGGTAGAGAAGAAAAGAAATGAACGTCGTAAAAGAAGAAAAACTACCACCGCTAATAATGATTTCATTTATGGAAACTATGATATGCTGCCTGTAAGTAACATATAATTAATAAAAAAAAATAAAGATAAAAAAGTTATGAAATCTCAAGGAAAAATTGTCTTATGTGGTCATTACAGATGTTTAAGGACTTATTTTTATTTAAAAGTATTAAAAATACGGTGCATAAAACTGCAATAATTTTACGATTATTTCTAGATTATAATTAATTTTCTGTTAAAATTTTCAGAAAAGAAAGAAATTAAACCAATTCCCGTATCTACAGTCACATAGTGATCCGCCGCAAACGCGTTCAGCGAAATTAAAAAAGCAACAGGTAATACATATTAAAGTTTTTACTTAAACACTTTATCTAAAAAAAACACTGTTATGTATTCTATTTGAAAAACGTAAGTGTCTAATATGATTAATAAAGCATAATACACATATTTACAAGTTTCTACAATCCAATAAGATTTAAAAAAAAATGTTTATAATCTAATTATTTTGAAATTAAAAATGATAATTAGATTCTCGATTTGACTAAGTGATTTAAGTTTTGACTGACATTGAAGTCTGACTTTTTGTATCATTTTTTTGTTACATATAATGTTTATTAAAAACAAAATGAATATTCCAGGGTCAAGCGAAGTCATCTCGTGAAGGTTCACCCTCGGGATCATCAACAGAAAACAAAGGTATGGTTTTATTTAATAATTTCTTGCAACTATATCTATACTAATATTATAAAGAGATTTGTATTTTTGTATGTATTAACTCAAAAACTACTGGATCAATTTCAAATATTATTTCATCATTAAAAAGGTATGTTACCAGTGAGTAACATAGGCTATATTTTAATTATTTAATTTCTCGCAGACGAAGTAACGAGCAACAGTTACATTTTATACAGGACTAGCTTACGCCCACGATTCCGTCCGCAATAAAAAGTATTTAATAAATAAATAAAAACCTCTTTATTGCCATATACATACAGTGAATATATTTAACTAGAAAAAAAAATGTGGCAATGGGCTGCAGGCTCAGCGTGTACTACATGGCTAATGCCACGCTAAGCCGATTTTCAGCCTGTCCCTGTTTTAGACTATATATTTTTTCAGACTATCTTCGATGTTTATGCTCAATTTCATCGAGATGTGTTGTGACCGGATGGATGTATACTTTGTAGACTAACAAAGTATACATCCATCCGTTCATTTAAACTTTATAGTAGTAAAATTGATTTCAAGTGGTAGAGATACCTCTATAAATGGACAGATTAGAATTAAATATAGAAATAGAATTTAATTCTAAAATCTTACTACTTATTGATATTGTAAAAGTGAAAGTTTAGGTGGATGGATGTATGTTAGTTTACCTAAACGGCTGAACGGATCTCTATGAAAATTGGCATAGATGTAGAACATAATCTGAAAGATAGGCTACTAATATTTTTCGTGAACGGAGTTAGTCATAATATATTTTTAGAACCATGTTATTGACAATATGACATGCCATTTATAGATTATTATGTTAATA